GAAAAGGCAGAAAGAAGCTTAAACTACCAGAAGGAAGTGGAAAGATTTGAAAAAAAAAAAAAAAAAAAGTGAAATTAGCTGAAAAAGCTAAATTCTGCATAAAACAGCTAAATGGCAGCTGAAAGAGCAAAAAAGGCTGAAACTAACTGAAAAAAGCTGAAAGGAGCATGACAAGCTGAAATTAGCACAAATAAGTTGATGATGCTGAACGTAGCAGAAATTAACACCTAAAACTTGAATTTATCTGAAAGCAGCTGAAATTAGCTAAATAATGCTAAAAAGGTAGCTGAAAAGGTAGAACAAGCTTAAATTAGCATAAAAAGGCAAAAAGAACACGTCTGCCCAATTAGGCTGAAAGAAGCAGAAATGAGCACAGAAATGTGGAAATTATCTGAAAAAGCTGAAATGAGAAAAAAACAAGCTGAAAAGTAACTAAAAAGGCAGAAAGAAGCTTAAATTACCAGAAGGAAGTAGAAAGCACATTTTTGCTGAATTAAGCTGAAAACAGTTGAAATAAGTGCAAAAAAATTGGGATTAACTGAAAAAGCTAAAATGAGCAAAAATCAGTTAATAGTAGGCAAAATAACAGAAAAAGCTGAAACTTGCATAAATAAGCTGAAATGAGAATAACAAGCTGAAATTGGCAGAAAAAAGTTAGAAGAAGACCAAAAAATGTTGTAGTTAGTAGAAAGAATCTTAAAGAAGCTCAGAACAGCTAAAAAAAAAAGCAGAAAGTAGCTGAAAATTGTTTTTAAATTTGCACAAAGAAGCTGAACCAGAACAAAATGTGAAAGGAGCAGTAAAATGTTGTAAACAGATCTAAAGATCTGAAGGATGTCAAATGAGCTCATTTCATTTGTATAAGAAAAACAAACGACAGAAAAGGCTAAATATTTCAAAAAGCTAAAGTTGCACCAATACCAAAAGTCATAACTGGATTGTCCTAAAAGCTGAAAGTTTTGATATGATTTGTTGAAGTATCACAAAAATTGTAGAACGAGAACGATGCTGAAAAACGTATGTAGGACTAGAAGTGGCAATACGATCACAATAGTGTGAATACTTCATAAACATTCACACAATAACAGAAATCTGATCAATAGTTAATTCCACACATGTAAAAAGGCTCTGGATGGGCTGCGTTGGAGGTTCATTTTCCTGTCTGCTTATTTTTAACACAGTTAAATAACTAACAGAGAGGATGTCAAGAACGGCACTTTGGGAAAAGGGAAATTGAAAAAATTCAGACTGATGTTTCAAAGTCTGCAAATGAAAACAAGACTCCCAAAGTGAGTCAAAAAAAGAGCACTGGGGTCATCATGCCAAAACACACGCCTCTTTAATTCTCATCAGATGTTAGAGTCTAGAGCCTCACTGGAATATTAATCCATTTTAATGATTTAATTACCAGTAGAGAACAGTTTAAGAGTTGGCTGAATTGGTGTGAGGAAGGAAGAGTGCAGTGTGGTGCTTCAACTATAACTTGCCACTACTTCCCCTGTCTGAACACTCATGTAGGAAGACCTTATGTGAGGGGAATGTGTTGTCTCGTTGTTGAGGTTTTCCCTTCAGGTTGCAGAGCTGACAAATGCATGCGGTGCTTCGGCCAAGGCAGAAATATGTCATACTGTTGATGCTTTGAAAGACTTTGGCAATCGTAGAAACTTTTAGCTGTGTGCATCTGGAGTTAACTGACGTGAAACATCCATGCATATGTTTTGTCTGCATAATTTATGAATCCCTAATCAGGGAAAAGAGGTTTTAAATAATAGTGGCTCCAAACGCAATTAGATCTAAAAGAGAGAGGCGTATACAATCAAGATGTGACTAAACTTGGAAAGCATGTAAAACCCCACCCTGCACCTAACAATCAGGAAAAAAAGAAGTACAAAAGATCTATAAATACACATACACCTACATACATTACATTTATATATTCAAGGATTCAAGGTTCTTTAGTGTCATTCACATCACATGTGGTATATGAGGTGGAACAAAACTATATACACAGGGTCCCAGTTACATCCAGCAAAAATACAAATTGTAAAGAAAAACAGTAATAAGATCCAATACATGAACTAAGAAATACACTAAACTAATAGTATAAAACAATGCGCCAAACAACAGCAGCACGGACATGAGTCTGTGTGAGCAGATGAGGACGAATGAACACAGCAACATGAAATAAATCAGCAGCATGAGATCAGCATCATGGATAGTCAGCAGGACATATCAATAACCAAGTGGCATTACAGTGATTTTTTTCACAGTAATTTTCACAGTGATAATCCTGACTAGGGAATCATGAGTCTAACAGCTTCAGGGTAGAAGCTGTTCCTCAGCCTAGTGGTTCTGCACTTAATGCTCCTCAACCTTCTGCCCGAGGGGAGCAGGGCAAAATGTGTGTGTGCTGGGTGAGTGGGGTCCTTCATGATGCAGGTGGCCCTCTACCTGCATCTAGAGGTGTAGATGTCTGTGATGGTGGGGAGACTGACTCCAACAGACTTACGTATGTGCAGCCTTCACCACTCTGCAAAGCTTTTCTTTCTGCAGCTGCAGGATGCTCTCCACTGCACACCTGTAGAAGGAGGTTAGGGCTGATCTTCCCAGACCAGCTCGTCTCAGCCGCCTGAGGAAGTAGAGTCTCTGATGAGCTTTCTTGATCAGGCTGGTGGTGTGGTTGCCCCAGCTGAGGTTGTTATTCAGGTGTACACCCAAGTACTTGTAGCTGGAGACCACTTCCACTGCAGATCCTCCTTTGTTGGGGGGGGGGGGGTAGTAGGTGTGCTTATTCCGTCTGAAGACCACAACCATCTCCTTTGTCTTCTTTGCATTGATGTGAAGGTTGTTCTTCCTGCACCAGCTCTCCAGGTGTTCCACCTCCTGCCTTTAGCTGGACTCATCATTGTTTGTGATGCATCCAACCACGCTGTATCGTCTGCAAACTTGACAATATGACAGCCTGAATGGGTAGGTGCGCAGTCAAACGTTATCAAACGTTAGCAGAGTGAACAGGAGAGGGCTCAGCACACATCCCTGAGGGGAGCCAGTACTGAGGGTTATGATGGAGGAGAAGAAGTCGTGGATCCTCACAGATTGTGGTCTGTTTATTAGGAAGTCTAGGACCCAGTTTCATAGAGAGGGACTTCGTCCTAGTTTTAACTGGTACAGGCTATATAGAGCACATCACGCCAGTTTTGGCCTCCCTGCACTGGCTACCCATTCACCTTCGGATCCAATTCAAAATTCTCATGTATGTTTTTAAATCACTGAACAGTTCCGCCCCATCCTATCTCACTGATCTTCTGCAGCCATATGTCCCACCGCGCTCTCTGAGGTCAGCAGACCAGATGCTTCTCTCAGTCCCAGAAACCCGTCGTAAGCTCAGAGGTGACAGGGCTTTCTCTGTTGCAGGTCCACGACTGTGGAATGAGTTGCCACTGAGTGTCCGGCAGGCTCCCACACTCTCAGTCTTTAAGTCTCGCTTGAAGACCCACTTCTATTCTCTTGCCTTTACCACGTTGTGATTTGTTTTGGTCCGGTCTGTACTCTACACTGTTGGCCATTTTAGTTAGCTTCTGCTGCTATTTGTATCTGTATTTCTATTTTATGTTTTCCTGTCCGCTGTGCATGTTTGTTTTCTTTTGTACAGCACTTTGGTTGGCCTTGTTGCTGTTTTAAGTGCTCTATAAATAAATTGGTATGGTATGGTATGGTATGGTATGGTATGGTATGGTATGGTATGGTATGGTATGGTATGGTAGTGTGATTAGTTTGTCCATCAGGGTCTGGGGAATCATGGTGTTGAAGTTCACAAAGAGCATACGGACGTAGGACTCCTTCTGCTCCAAGTGGGTGAGAGCAGTGTGGACCTCAGAGGAGATAGCATCTTCTGCTGATCGATTCTTGCAGTATGCGTACTGGTGAGGGTCCTCGTTTATGTTGATGTTAGCCTTGATGTGGGTCATGACCAGTTTTTCCGAAGCATTTAGCGACTATCGGGGTGAGGGC